TGAAATCGCATCATATGACCCCTTTAAACGAATTGTATCCTGACAAGACGAATAAAAATAAGAAATACAATTTTTGTACATTTTTATTTTATCTGACACTTTTTTCTACTGTGTTGCATAAAATATTAAATTAATTTTGTGTCTTAAGATAATTCATATAAATTCAAGTCAAAGTCAATAAATTCAAGACTCTTGACAAGACGAATAAAATAACACAATTTTGTGCAGACTACACTTTTATTTGTCAGCCTATCTCTCTTTCTTTCAGTAGCGGAAATTTAAATGTGAGATGCTGGAAACGAGATCTAAATTTAGCGGGAACGGTCGGGTAGGGAAGATAATTACTCTAAGCGGACAGCGGGTGAACAAAGAGTGAATATATAGCGGGAGCGGGTGGGTGCGGAATAGAACCTTGCGGGAGCGGGACTAAAAAAACAGTCCTGCGCAGACCTCTACATCAAATTTTCATTTTTGGGTGAACTATCCCTTTAAGGTCTAATGACAACAATCATGATAATTAGAGAACATACTTTATACAACTGCTCCTCTAAATACATCACTGATGATGATGACAATGTTGCTTAAAACTCACTCATGTTTGTTTTTGTATATTTGTGGTCTTTCCTTTGACTTCTATTATTTTTATAGAGAGCTAATGATATTGTCTATCCCCTAAACATACCCTTAAACCTAAACCCCTCCCCTTTTGCACTTTTAACTATTAAGACATTGTTTAGTATGTTTATTATTCTGTTTCCCTCTTGCTCCCCATAATGTAGCTGATTTCAGGTTTTACTATCTTTGTAGGGACATTTGGTAGGTTAAACCTGTAAAAACAGGCACACTCTTTACATTGCAAGCAGATGTCATTTCCTGTGCAGACATGGATGTTTACAAACTGCTCTGATTGCATCCACACCCGACTGCGATATACGTTCCCATAGGCCAGAATACCGCACACTAATTAAACACAACATATTCATAAAGATAGGTAGTAGGAAACTTCTAATCGACTGTCAAAATCCCAAATTCAAATGCATATATGTATGTGACCAACCTCAGCTTCCTTCTCCATGAGGATCTGGTCTTTGTCCATCACATCTTCATCAGCCGCCCTGCGGGA